TTGAAAATATTCACTTGTTTCCAGCAAGAATGTGCACGAAATATGTGTAGTCAAAGAAAATGGATATGTGTGATTAGCTGCTACACCCAGTCATGTTTACTTTACAAGTATAAAATCTTCATTTCCAACTCAAGTTGTAATTCTATTGATAATTACCACAGGCCCTGATACTTACCATCCTTAACAGTTAACACTAACAGTTAAGTGATAATTTGTTTCAAATGATCTTTTGAACAAATCTATATGTTGTGTATTCGTTGCAAATGAAGACAAGGAAAGTAAAGAAAAAATAATGCCACCATTTAAAAATTTTGTAACTAGAAGGAAATTCATATAATTCATATTTTCATAATCAGTCATGTGTGTGATTATCTAAAACAATCCACTCATTGCCATTGAGTTGGAACTAACTCGAAGTTGGTCCTTTAGTGAGTTTTCAGAGTGAGCCATATGGGTGGAGATTGCTCATCTGTCTACCATGGTGCACCTGGTGAACTCAAACTGCTGGCCTGTTGATTGGTAGGTAGTGTAACTCCTTCCCATCTGGCTGTAGCTATCCATCCAGACGGTTTTCAGAGGCCTTAAATTGTATAGGAGACTATTGTCCATCATTTCCTTACAGAACAGCTGGTAAATTTGAACTATGTGCCATTGGCTTGGCAGTGCAACTCCTTATGACCAATATGTATACATATGTATGTATATGTGTGTGTGTATGTGTTTGTGTGTGTGTGTGTGTCTAAATGATGGCTTGAAGGTAACTAGAAAAATCAATGAATGACAGAAACCTCATATAATAGAAGTCCTGGATGGTGCAAATTGTTGATGAGCTCTACTGGTAACCAAAACTTGGGGAGTTCAAATCCAGTAAGCAAACTTTATGATTTCCTTCAGAAAAAATCAATAGTTAAAGCCCCAGGAACATAAAGTTCTACTCTGAAATACATGTTGTTCCTATTAGCTGAAGCTAGTACTGATCACATCCTAGAATGTGCAGCTATTTATGTTTAGCATATTTGACTGCTTCACTTTGTATCTAGATGGAATACTTTATCCTTGACCTATCTTAAACACTGCTGAGAATATTAACCATTTCTTATTAGAGAATAATAAGGTTATATGATCATTAAAACAATAATACAAAAGAATACAGTGATTATACAACAAAGCTATATATTTCATGGTTGTATCCTAAAGGTTTTAACTTACTATTAATTATATTTAATGAATTATTTTTCTTAAGTATAAGAAGTGAGGGCACAGAGAACTCTATATTTTGGCTGGAAGTAGATTAAACATGGCTAAACATATAACAATTTCTCTTACAAATACCAAAACACTTGAGTTTTTAAAAATGTCTCAGCATAATTTAACACACAGTAATTTTATCAAAATATAGAAACATTAACAAAGTTAAGAAGGCTGATGTTGTTGTGTTCCATTATTTATTAATTTATTTATTTTATTTATTATTTATTTATTTATTATTTATTATAATAAAACTAATAACAAAACCTCTAAGATGTTTGAAATGACAGAAAAGAGATATCTTGATTGAAATATTTATTTACAAGTGCAGATCTTTCCTTCTATGCTGATAGATTCAATTCACTCAAATTTTCTTCAGCAGCTGAGTATCTAACCATTGTGCTACCAGGGTTTTTTAAAATTAAAAGTATTTAGTATTATTGTGTGATTACTCAAAGTCAGGATATGAATTTAGTGATTTTAATAAATTTTCCCACCACCTTAACACTAAAATACGTAAGCATTACCAAAAAAGGTTACTTCTGCTATTGTATCATGCTAAGACTATTAAAAGATTAAATATACTGGAGGAAAGTTCCATAGAGAAATTATAAAAGCTCTTTTGTGGTAATTATAAAATGGGTTGTTTTGTACTAGAATATATATATGCAAAGGCATTGTCATTAGCCAAATAACTTACACAATCAAATAAAGCTGTAATAAAAAACACATAGGGAAAAAAAGCTGAAAGTATTGTTGAATGTTCATAAAATGGTACTTAAATGCTTCTTTGTATCTTTAAAACAGATATTTAATCCTAAAAGATAACCAAGTGGTGGTATAACCCTTGAATTTAACGTTAAAGTATTTATAATAGTGGATGTTATGATGAACAAATTAATACATAGCTGATTGTATTTTATTTTTTATGTATAGCACTCAGTGGAAGTGAATAGAAAAATAATGATACTGACTATATTTAATGTAAGAAAGATATAGATTTCTTCTAAGGAAGTCTTTCACTTGGTAAATGAAAAAAATCACACTTAAAACATATTTCATATTAATTTATTATTGGAACTCTAATATTTTTGATCAGTTTTTAATGTTAACTTTATGTCTTTAAAGTTTAGGTATCATAACGAAGGTATTTTAATGTTGTTAAAAAATAGAGGAGACAAGAGGAGTTTAAAAACAGTGAAAGTAATTCATACACTGAGCTTTTTTTTTTTAAAGATAAACCCAAACCCAATATACTCCAGTCTAATTGGTTTCACTCAGCAACTGTCCATCAGGTTTCTGAGGCTGGTCATCTTTAATTTTCAAGACAGCTTGTGGATTCATATTGTTGAACTTTTGGTTAGTAGTTTAAAGTATAATACTACCAGGGAACCTTTAAACATCTATATGATGTTCTATTTGGAAGCAGGAGTGGCATAAACTTCCTAAATAACTTGCTCCAGAAACTCTATGAACTTTGATAAATGTCAATAGTTGTAGAGGGGCTTCACGCCTTTTGTTCATAGGGTAGCTCTGTGTCATGCTCGACTAAAAGGCAATCAACAGCAACAACATGAGGTTCTATATCTTGCTTTTATTAGAATAACTCTGTATCCCTACTAAGGAGAAATGAGTTCATCAATTCACCTCCCCCCCCCCATCCTAACAGAAGAGTCCCATATCTTGCCTTTGAATATAAACATACCACTTCACAATGGAGTGAGAAAATGAGGAGACAGAATTATTCAGAGGTCAATTATTTTCTTCTATACATATAAGTTATTTGTTTTATACATCCAGATTTCACAACATTTAATATTCTAAATACAAGGCCTCACTCTGTTGAGCAAACATGTAGCTTTTAATGAGAGATGTGTTGGACCATAACATTGAAAGCATTTCAGACCTTTTTATCACGGCGATTCCAAGAATGCAGACTGATTTTTAAGGTCAAGACTTTTTGGAAGCAGATTGCCAGAATATATGTATGTGTGTATGTATGTGTATATATGTGTATGTGTATTCCTAAACCTATTTTTTTTTAATTTTATAAGGATTGTGCTACCAAACCAAAGGCATGTATTTTGAGTCCACCAGCTCTGACAGTGAAGGACAGGGTATCTATGGGTCAGTTCTGACTCAATGGTACATAACAACATATATAATATATAGATATATACAGAGGTGAATAAAACACAGATAGACATTATGCAAACACATTTGTCTGTGTGGATCACAACAAATTGTGACTAATATTGAGAAAAGATAACAATAAATTTTGACTAACCTTAAGAATGGGGAAAAAAAATAAAAAGAATAGAAATCCCAGAAGATTTGATTGTGTTCATGTGAAAACTATATTTGGACCAGGAAACTGTCATCAGAATATAGCAAGGAAACACTATATGTTTCCAAATCAGGAAAGGAGTGCATCAGGGACACATCCTGTCTCCATCTCTTCTCAATCTATATGGTGAATAGATCATTTGGGAGAGATGGGAGAAATGTGTCCCTAAGAGTTGAGGAAAACTCATGAACAGCTTGCATTTATATATAATATAACCTTGTCAAAACTGAAGAGGACTTGAAACACTTGCTGCAGAAAGTTAAGAACTGTTGTCTTCAAAATGGGCAGAAGTTCAACATCAAGAAAACAAAGATTATCACCACTGGGCCAATTGGCAGCATCATAATAGACGGAGAAGGGTTTAAGATTGTTCACAATTTCAGCTTGCTGGGTTCCACAATTAAAACTTTTGGCACCAGCAGTTAGGAAATCAAAAGAAGGATTGTATTAGGAAAATTTCCTGTCAGGGCCCTCTCCAGCATGCAGAAGAGCAATGATATCAGTCTAGTAGAGACTAAGGCATGCCTCATTCAGGCCATGGTCATTGCAATTAGTTGCTGTGCATCAGAGAGCTGGACAATGACTAAGGATTATAGAAGAAAAATAGATGCTTTTGAGTGGTGTTGCTGGAGAAAAAGAATGAACTTACCATGAACTGCCAAGACCAAAACAGGTCTCTTCTGGAAAGGGTGAAATCAAGTTCTTTGGAAGCAAGGATTTTGAAGCTACATATCACATACTTTGGGTATGTTTTCAAGAGGGGCCAAACCTTAGAGAAGGATATCATCCTTAGAAGGGTGAAGGAACAGCACAGGAAAGACCCTGGGTGAGATAGATTGACACAGTAACTGGGATGATGGAAGTAGGCAAGCTGGAGACAATGAGACTGGCTCAGGATAGAGAATGTTTCAGCAGTAGTATACCTAGGGTCACTTTGTGTCATCAGAGACCTTGAAGGCACATAACATAT